GAGTTTACTCAGCGCAGAACGAGAATTCATTCGCCCACGCTCGTTCCCCTCTATCACTCACTCACCGCAATCACTGCCTCACGCACCACCTACCTCCTCACTCGTTCAACCAACCAACCAACCACTCACCTCCTCACACACACACCCACCCACCCCCTTACTCAGTCACCTAGCTTATGTTTGACTGTGTGTGTAGAGCCCAGCACCCAGTCACCTAGCTCACTCAATCATGCACTCACTCACTCACTCACCCACTTATCCCATCACTCCCTCACTCACCCACCCCTCACTCAGTGAACCAACCAACCATCCAACCACCCCCTCACCTATGCGCGCACCCGCCGTCACCTAGCCATTCATGTTTGACTGTATGTAAGAGCAAGCCACCGGGTCACCTAGCGTTATGTTTTGACTGTGTTGTAGAGCCAAGCATCCGCGTCACCTAGCTTAATGTTTGACTGTGTGTAGAAGCCCAAGCATCCGGTCACCTTATCTTATGGTTTGACTGTGTTTATTAGCAAGCATCCGGCTCACCTAGCCTTATGCTTGACTGTGTATGTAGCAGCAATGCATCCGGTCACCTAGCTTATGTTTGACTGCTGTTTTATACACAAGCATTCCGGTCACCTAGCTTATGTTTTGACTGTGTGTTATGTAGAGCCAAGCACCCGGTCACGCTAGGCTTATTGTTTGACTGTGTGTATGTTAGAGCAAGCACCCGCGTCACACCCTAGCTTATGTTGGACTGTGTGTATGTAGAGCAAGCACCGGTCACCTATCTTATGTTTGTGTTATGTTAGAGCAAGCACCCGGTCAGCTAGCCTTATGTTTGACTGTGTGTATGTAGAACCAGCACCGGTCACCTAGCTTATGTTTTTGACTGTGTGTATGTATGAGCCCAAGCACCCGCGTCACCTAGCTTATGTTTAGACTGTGTGTATTGTAGAGCCAAGCACCCGGAACCTAGCTTAGGTTTGATGTGTTGAGCCAAGCCACCCGCGTCACCTTAGCTTATGTTTGACTGTGTCGTATGTAGAGCCAAGCACCCGGTCACCTAGCTTATGTTTGACTGTGTGTATGTAGAGCCAAGCACCCCGGTCATCCTAGCTTTATGTTTTTGACTGTGTGTGTGTAGAGCCCAAGCACCCGGTCACCTAAGCTTATGTTTTGACTGTGCTGTATTGAGATCCAAGCACGCCGGTCACCTAGCTTAATGTTTACTGTGTGTAGCAAACAAGCCACCCGCCGTCACCATAGCTTATGTTTGACTGTGTGTAGAACAAGCACCCGGTCACTAGCTTATTGTTTGACTGTGGTGTGTGTAGAGCCCCCAAAGCACCGCGTCACCTAGCCTTTATGTTTGACTGTGCTGCTTAGAAACCAAAGCACCCGGCTCACCTAGCTTATTGTTTTTGGGGAACTTTGTGGTGTGAGTAGAGCCAAGCACCGCGGTCACCAGCTTATGTTTTTACTGCTGTGTATGTAGGAGCCAAGCACCCGCGTCACCTAGCCTTCATGCTTTAACTGTTGTGTATGTAGAACCAAGCACCTGGTCACCTAGCTTTATGTTTGCCATTGTGTATGCTAGCAACCCAAGCAACCCGCGTTCACCTAGCTTATGTTTGACTGTAGTGTATGTAGCAGCAACCAGCACCGGTCACCTAGCTTATGTTTGACCCGTGTGTATGTAGAGCCAGCACCCGGTCACTAGCTTATTTTGACTGTGTGTATGTTAGAGCCCAGCATCCGCGTCACCTAGCTTTATGGTTTACTGTGTGTAGAGCCAAGCCACCGTCACCTAGCTTATGTTTGACTGGGTAGAGCAAGCACCCGGTCACCTAGCTTATGGTGACTGTGTGTATGTAGAATCCAAGCCACCCGCTCCCTAGCTTATGCTTGACTGCTGTGTAGAAACCAAGCACCCGCGATCACCTAGCTTGATGTTTGACTGTGTGTAAGAACCAAGCACCCGGTCACCTAGCTTATGTTTGACTTGTGTGTAGTGTTAGAGCCAAGCACCCGCGTCACCAGCTTATGTTTGACTGTGTGTAGAACCAAGCACCGGTCACCTAGCTTATGTTTGACTGTGCCTGTGAGCTAGAGCAAGCACCCGCCCGTCACCTAGCTTTATTGTTTTACTGTGGTATGTAGAGCCAAGCACCCGGTCACCTAGCTATGTTTAACTGTGTGTATTGTAGAACAAGCACCTGGTCACTAGCTTATGTTTGACTGTGTTGGTATGTAGAACAAGCACCCGGCTTCACTAGCTAGCTTATGTTTGTGTGTATGTAGAGCCAAGCATCCGGTCACCTAGCTTATGTTTGACTGTGTGTAGAGCCAAGCACCCGGTCACCTAGCTTATGTTTGACTGTGTGTAGAGCCAAGCACCCGGTCACCTAGCTTATGTTTGACTGTGTGTATGTAGAGCCAAGCACCCGGTCACCTAGCTTATGTTTGACTGTGTGTATGTAGAGCCAAGCACCCGGTCACCTAGCTTATGTTTAACTGTGTATGTGTAGAGCCAAGCACTGCGACCAGCGCTCAGCAGAAGCAGGTTACGGACAGGCTGGATGCGACGTCAGTGTTGCTGCAGGACCTGAGCAAGGCGCAGACACAGCGACTCAGCGACAAGCCGCCTTCGCACCTCCACCTCGTGAAACCGCCCTCCCAGCGCGAAGAGGAGATCGGTGAGTCGGTCGCCACGGCAACGCCGTCTGCTTCCCTCGCTGCATGTGTTCGCGATGTTATTGAACTATCGTACATGGCAGTAGTGACGAATTTTTTACAAGCTGGGCTCTTGTTTAGGAAAAAAAGTTAATATGAAAAAGTCGAGTAGTTAATGTTAAAAAGTAACTTAATTTGTCATGTTTTTAAGTAAGTTCAATGTTGTATTTATTACCGGCATGCCAGTTTCGATGAGTAAGTTCGTGTGTATGTGGGAGAGATATGCTAAACACGTCTTGAAATTATGATATTTTTTATGAATGCTGGCTTTTATGTAGCGTTTTAATTAAAACTAATTGTTTTTTTGTTTTCACATTAAAGCTGCTAAGGTCATGGAGAATCTCAAAGAACTAGCTGCAGCGGTAAGTTTTTCATGCGTTCTCCTATTACTTGTGTAAAGAATTGTATTAACAATACTCATATCCGATAACAGAACGTCTATGTTCTATATGCGATGTCAATATGAGTTCTAGGGGGCTGGTAAAAGCTGCGTGAAAATGGCACCAGGTTTTGTTTAATTGGCAGCAGCCATAGGAGTTAGGCCGCCTCTCACAACGACTTCTTTGTTAAAACCTGCGTGAAGTTTCCGTTCGGTACTTCAGACTGCCATTTAGCCTGTAGAAGTCAGCCAGCGGTACATCGCAATGACGGTGTTACGACGTTTAATGGCCAATGTAATAGAATAAATGTATGGCCGACGTTAATGAAATAGTACAGCTATACCCTCGTATCTCTGCATGTGCGTGTATATATAATTGCTGTTGCTTTTGTTCGTGGATAGGTGGCGCCGTGTGACATAGTCAGCGCGCAGGCGGTGAGGCGTGCCATGGGCGTCACGAATGATCCCGTTGACACGGAGGCATTCACAGAGGACGACGACGAAGAAGAAGCTAACGTAAGTGAACAATGGGCGGAGAATGTTGCCACGCGGGGGGGCGGACATTGTTATTGTTGAAGAGGTAGATCGGCAAAGATCTCTCGTTCCTTGCAAGCCGAATTGTACCGTGAAAGGGTGGGCAGATTGCGCAAAGTTTTAGTGGGTAAAGATTCTAAAGAATGTTGAATCACTTGACTGCTTAGGTTTATACGACTACACTGTCCATGCAGGGAATGTGAGTAACAGCGTGCCATGGTTCTGCATAGGAGAACTGTTATAGTTGCTGCCAATGATCACAGAGCAGATCTGGTGGTTGTTTGTGGAGGTGGTGATAGATAGAGAGTCTCCTTGAAAGGCAATGAATGTTCTTCTGCGTTCATATTGTGTTATGATCTCACAGCAAAAAACAGACCCTCGCTTCGAGCATGATGCCATGGGTTGAAAGTAGCCGAGTAAAACAGTTTTCAAGGACAGTGTTTAATTGTTCCAGTCTAAAACGTTTTTGTTGGTGATCGTTTTTCATTGCAAAGAGCATGAAATCACAGAGTGTTTACCTTTCTGTTGCTAGTGATTAAAATGTGTGAGGATAATATTGTTCTAAGTTTTTGTGCAGCAACGTGCATGTAGTGGTATGCACAGTATTCATGTACAGCTGTAGTAGTGACTCTGATAGAAACCATACATAGGAGGATTATAGTTGATACAGATGCTTGTTTATTTAATTACATACAGGGATGAGATGAATAATCGGCCTATGGATGTCACACTTGCAGTAGCTCACCAGCCACTGTCTCTCCCAGTCTCTCTCTCTCTGCCTCTCTAGGTTCTAACACATGGAGTCACTCTTTCTCTCTCTTCCTTTAAAAGGACGTTAACAGTGTTGTTTTCTTTATTTACGTACGTGACGGGGAAACGGCTTTCCATCATACGACAAGCAAATCATACCCCGCCTGAATGCTGTGTTTACGTTACCCACAGTTAACTACACACGCACACACACACGCACATCATATATATATAGAGAGAAAAATTACGAGGTACGCCACACCCGCGTGTACATTGACGGGTGTATGGAACTATGTACAGTGTATCGAAATTCAGAATCGTGAGATTGTCGTGTAGTTCCAAGTGTCGTACGAAGTTATCTCACATGGTCTCTACCAATCTCTACCATATCCTAGTCCGGCATTGTTGCCATATCCTAGTCCGGCATTGTTGCCATATCCTAGTCCGGCATTGTTGCCATATGCGCTAGTCGCGCATTGTTGCATAAGTCCTACGTCCGGCGTTGTGGCCGTATGCCCAGGCCACCTCCGTAGCCCCCTTTTTAGGGTTTTTTTGCCGTGTACACTGTCAGCTATGCCGTTACCGTTCGTGTCGGCGATTGCGATGTTGTTGCGTGCGACCCCTGTAACAATGCTTCCCGTGCGTCCAGCCCCTCCAGCGTGGACCACCCCTCTACCAAGTCCAGCCCCTCCAGCGTGGACCACCCCTCTACGCAGTCCAGCCCCTCCTGCGTGGACCACCCCTCCACGTAGTCCAGCTCCTCCTGCGTGGACCACCCCTCCACGTAGTCCAGCTCCATCCTGCGTGACCACCCCTGACCCGTAGTCCACCCGCCTCCTGCGTGGACACCGCTCCACCAAATCGAGCCCCTTCTGCGTGGACGGCACCCTACCTCCAAAGCCCAGCCCCTCCTACACCAATGACCCACTGCCCACGCCACCCACACCGAATCCAACCCCGCCCACCGCTCCGCCCGCTGGCGAGACCCGTCGCCCCGGCAACGGCGCCGTCTTCCACGCTCCGATGCCCGACGACGGCGCTCCGGGTCCGGGGGAGACTCGCGGCGCCGGCACGTTGACGCCTGAATGCGGAGTCAGGGCGAAGATTCCTCGCGTACCCGGTACGACGCTCCGGCGGCTCCCGCTCGCCCGTGCTGGCCGCGCGTGCTGCATCAAAAAACGCGCTGCGCTTCTCGGTTGGGCTCGTCGGACCGGCCTGGCCGCGCGCGGAGGGCGGGCAAGACGCCGGTAGCCGATATTCCGGAGCTGGGGAAAGGGGGGCATGGGGGACGCGGACGCGGTCGGGCCGCCCGGGGGCGTGCCATGCCGCGCGGTAACCGTGCTCCGTATATCTGTCAGCCAAGAACCCGCGCAGGAGCCACTACAGCCGGGGGGCGGTGGGGGTGCGCGCGGCCGGGCGGTGGGCGGGAGCCGCCGGATCTGGCGAGCCACCCTCGGGAAGGTTGAACCGGTCCCGTGCCGACGAATTCGTCCGCCGCCTCGATCGGGCGCGGCGTTGCCAGAGGCCGGAATGGGCGGGCGCGCACTAGCGACGTGTAGCGGGCGGGACGGGGACGGCGACCGGACGCCGGGGCGAACGGGAGGCTTGCCCGGATGAGGTCCGCCAAGATCGGACCGTAACCGCCGCCGGCCGGCCGACGGGCCGTGGCAAAGCGGTCCAGGTCGCGCGGCAATCCTGCCCGTGGTCGAGAGAACGCGGCCCAATACCTTTCCGTCCGTATCCTACGCGGTCCTCCTGTAATCCGCGTCCTCCTCTCGATACCTCCTCCTAGCCGTAAAGCGCCACTCCTCGTAATCCTCCGTCCTACGGCCGGTACGCACATCCTCTCTAAGCCGTAGCCCCCTCGCTCGCCGTTAATCCACCTTGCTTCCGGAAGCCACCGTCTGTCGTATCCTCCTCCTCCGCGTAGCCCGACCGTCCTCCGGTATCTCCTTTACCGACAAACACTCCTGCGTATGCCTCCTCTCCGTAGCCACCTCTCGCGTATCCTCCTCGCTCCTGTAGTCAGCCCCCTCTCCGTATCCTCTCCTGGCCGTATCCTCCTGCTTCCGAGCACTCCTCGTATCTCTCCTCCGCTACCTCCTCCTCCTGCCGCTAGCCACCTAGGTGCCTCCTCCATAACCTCCTCCTGCTCCATACCCTCGCTCCTCCATGGCCACTGTAGCCTGCCTATCTCGGTCGGTATCCGCTCTAGCAAGTTGCTTCCAGTCTACCAATAGCTTTCCTCCGAACGCGGCCGACGCCGTGGCCTCCGATGTGTCCGCCGACATCACGAACCCTCCTCCAGCCGTAGCCACCCACCGATCCGTGCTGCTCACGTAGAGGACGACGTCCCGCAACGCGCAGACCAAAGCGCCCATATGCGGCCACCTGCAATAGTTAAATGGCGATCGTGTGGGTTATGTTTGTAATATAATATATATATATATATGATATATAATATATATACATTATATTTATATACATTTACATGCACACACTACGCGCAACACACCACACGCACGCACAACGACACACACACGAACGCACGTACGAACCCCCGCACGCAAGCACGCACACACAACGCACGCACACAGCACACCGACACGGACACGTACGCGGCGCAGCGGCACGCACGTACGCCCGCACGCACGCACGCACACATTGAAGTACAGCGTGATGTGCTGTCAGGTGTTAATTATGTAATATAAGCTATTATGTAAAGTTATGATTATATAGCTATTTGAAGCTATTAATATACTATTATATGCGTTATATTCCATATAGGCTGTCATATAACTACATATAAGCTCAGTAATATGACCATATATTAGCGTTATATTAACATATAGCTGTCATATATACTACATATGAAGCTAAAAAGTAATATGGAGACATATATTACGTTTATAATTACAGTATAGGTATGCTTTACATACTAGCCATATAGCTACGACATATATTACGTTATATTCAGTACTATCTGCGGGGTACCCGCTGCGCTGGGTAAAATCGTGCTACTCTAATTCATACTCTGATAGCTAATAAATGGATAAACACCGTGAGGAACAGTTGGTAAAATCGACAATGACATTGCAGCCAATATCAAATATTTAGAAATCGGTCCTAATAAGATAATAAGCATGGGGACAAAACTGTTACGTATGACCATTTATAGACACGCACAACCGCAACTTTAGAAGCACCTGAGACACTCAATAAGGCTCTTAAATTATGCTCAATTACTTGGTCAGATCAAAGAGAGTCTATGTCCCGCAGGTATACCGGAACGTAGCGGGCTGGTGGCTATTTGATATGGTTTAGGGTTAGGGTTCGGTTGGATGGTTAGGGAGTTAGGCGTAGGCGACTCCTAGCTCGTTAGTGGAGTAGGCGAGGTACGGTGCGGCGGCATATTAGATAGTACAGGGTAGGTTCCGGTATAGCCCGCACCGGGTAACCAGGGTAGCGTTCGCGCTTGTGGAGTATCCGGGGGGGGACAGCAGACGCGCTCTGAGCAGTAATATGGAGTAAATAGCAAAAAGCTTATTGCTTTATAACAGCAATGTACGAATGGGGTTGGACTTTTCGTTTCAAAGACCTCTTGATAAAAATGTTTTTGTGTTATTCTGCTGTGCAACTTGTAAGAGATTCGTGCGTATGAACTGTAAGCTCCCAGTAGAGCTATCCAGTTGTGAGATCGTAAGCCGATAAAAGAAATTCCAATATATAGTATAGATAGAGACAGGCCAGCGAGTGGGGTCTGTTTCCACTGGATTTGTTCTAGTGGAATGCTTGGCGTGCAACCATGCACATTGAAATTAGAAATTTTTGTATTGAATCAGGAAAATGCATAGCTTCTGGAATGGTTGCAATGCTCTCGATCGTAGCATCTGGAACCGAAATCTGAACTGAGAGTGAGTAGTACCTCTGAACTGGTCGTGGTTATGCTCTGTTTTTAGTTTCGATTTCGGTTTCGGTTCACCAATACAGCAGCTGATGAGATCATGAAGGTGAGGGCAAGAAAATCAATAGTCATAGGCTGTGTGAGCATTGTGTGAAGATTGCCGAAATTGAGGGGGTTTTCACGGTTTTTGGCGAGTTTGACTGGTTTGACAGGTTTGTTTTAAGCTAGCGAACACGCCCGGGGTATAAAGATGGCTGTGAAAATTGCAATCCAGATCGCTTGGGCGGTTTGACCGCCTATAGGGAAGATACATACATACATAATACATACATAGAACTCAAATATATATTAGACTAGCTGCGGGTAAGCGCCGCTGCGGTGGGTAAATCGTGCTACTATTCATACTACTATACTAATAAATGGACACAGGGTAAAGGAACATTGGTAAAAGCATGACAATGACATTGCACCAAATATCGAGAGTTATTTAGAAATGCGGTCTAATAAATTAATAATGCATGGGAAAACTGTTAGCGTATAGACCCTTTATCGTGACAGCAGCAACCAACTTAAGAACACGCTG